AAAAAAAAAAAAAAATGTGAACTATTATTTGAGATACAGATATTACTTATATATAGAGATATTTTATACGAAATAAATTACTTGGATTTTAAAACCTTACGACTGTCCATCGTATCTTTACCCAACGCTTACGACAATCATCCCTTCCGATGTTTATATTTAGGCTCCCAACTAGGAGCCTAAATAAGATTTATTACTCGATCGAATTTATGGGAAATTTAAGGGGATTTCAATATAAATATTGGAAGTTTTCACATTCCAAAGATCCACTACAGTTTTAAAAGCAAACGAACGCGCACGGGAAACGATATATAATCAATGAGGATTCAACCTCGAGAAGGAATCAATCAGTATAATCGAAAGTATATAATACTTTAGGCAACGAGATGCAATCTCGACGCACGACTGGGAGTATCGCGACGAGCTCGTTATCAGCGCGCGCCCTCCCCGGACAACGCATAACTTTTGTGCATAATAATACGCTTTGTCTTTCGACAAGCAACGAGCTCGGTTTATCTCTCGATCCGTATGATCGGGTCCCGCTTCGTCCCGATTTGCTGTCTTCTGTCCGAGTACAAGGAGAGTCTCGCGGTGTAGCCCGTGGCTCTGATAAAAGCAACTGTTGCCAGCCACGGGTTCGAAACGAATCGAATCGATTCGATTCGATTCGAGGCAAGATCCGACGGACAGGCGAGGCCAGCCGCCGCTGGTTAAAATAGTCGAGCGTACCGAGACCACCGCACCAACCTACAGAGTAATTATTTACATTCCGCCAAGCCGACAGATTTGTCGCGTTAACGATAAATAAATCTAATCCAATTAGAGTCGCGAACCGTTTTCCTCTCGTTCGACGTCGCACTCGACGTCTTTTCTCCCTGGGTATATATATGTTTGTAAAGTTCGAGCGAAATAACCATTCACGCTTCAGTTGGCCCCTGTCAAAAAGTTGGAGCTGTTTGTAGCAGTCGGTTGTGAGACAATCGGAGCGTGGGATTTTTTTACTGGGATGTTTACAGTAAAAAGATTGATTTGTTGCCTTTAAACTAGAACTTTAAGAAGACAACCGTATCACCGTGATTGGAAATCGCCTCGAACAAAAAGATAAAATTCAAGATGGGCAATATCGTTTCATGAGGAAATCAAGATGCTCAGGTAGAATAATGAAACGATTTTAACACGTTCGTGAAGTAGCCGTTTTTGTGAAATCGGGGAAACGAGTGTGAGTCGTTGTGGTTTTCACGAGCGGCACGAGCTATCTTCGGCCTCTTCGCACGTTCATTCATACGTGCGTTAGCAGAGCGTACAAAGGTCTTTTAGCGAAGCAAACAACATATGGCGAGCAAACGCGTGTTCGAAACGCGTTCAATTCATTGGCAAGCAACCGGCTACCTGCGCCGCGTATTAAATCCCACGCGCTTTTGCCACCAGTGCCAGCAATTGAATCGCTGGCGTACGTTTCGCCTGCCTCTGATCCAGCTTTTTGTTCGGCAGTCTCACCCATATGGGTGAGCCAAATCACACAACGATTCTCTGATGCCCCCCTCGTCGCGCTGTGTCGCGTCGTTAAACACTCGTTTCTAAAGACGTCGTCGATACAACCATCAACTAATGATTGCAACAGAAATTTTAGACTCCCATTTTCGTGAGGTCATTTCATGGAATTACTTGTAATAAGTAATTAGAAGAATTTTTGTATTCATGCTCTTTTCGAATAAACCAAAAAAATAATACAGACTCAAGAGATGCATGAATCGAGATCCGAGCTGTGGCAGTACATGTATGTACTTTGTTTCTAATTCTTCGAGGCGAGATAGACTGTCGAGCGAATAAACTCGCGAGGCGCCAAAAATCGTCGGTGAAAGTCAAAGGTGGGCGGAAGCGTCTTGTCGCTCGTTCGATTCGCGGTCGCGCGAAAATTTAGATACATAGTAGATCCAGGCTTGAAGGCGCGTCAATCTCGCGGGTCCTTTGATCCTATTATTAAACACCGCGTGACAGATCGTTAAAATTTCATTCGATGTCGATTACGACGATATTCATTTTTTTTTATCCTCTCTTTTTTTTCCACTTGGAATATCTAAATATCTCTCGAGCCTGATGTATTACCTGTTAATTGTACAAAGGTGTCAGCTGTCTCTTGTAGAGAAATTTTAATTTCAAATAAAAGAGAGAGAAACAAAGTATTGAAATCGTAAGCAACGTTTGAAACAGACGGCCGAGAAGTCGCGATTTGAACGTAGAAATCTATTAATCGTAGAAAAATGTCAGCATTCTGCTTTCGAGAAATTTTCTAATTTCAAATAATTAAAAAAAAAAAAGAGAGAAAAGAAAGAAAGAAAAGATAAAAATCACGAGCAACGTTCGAAACAGACGGTCGAAAAATCGGTGATTCGTATTCTGATGCATTGCACGAA